GACAGGCGATTTGGAAGCGACCATAAGTAATGGCCGCTTTTCGAAATTGTAAAAAAATATCGTGACCTTGCAATACGCTGGATTATTATACTAGATTATATTATATATAGTCGCTTCATCTTGATGCCATCTGAGAATTATGTGTAAGAATTTCCTTAATCTGATGGTATGAAACAACAATTCAAAATATTTTATTAAAATTATTATATGTAATAATTACAATATCGATCCTTCCAGGATGAAATGTCGTAAAAGCCATTTTACCCAAAATGTGTTTTTAACCGTTTCTTTATCAGAATCGCGAGCTCTATCGATCTGTATATTTAAAATGTTCAAATTCGCGAAAAAATGTCTTTTACAACACGTAAAATGTCTAATGTCATAATGAACAATTTTGAAAATATTTTCTTCAAATTTATGTAGTAAGAGACATATTTTCTCATTCCACGGTCAATACAGCATATATAATACAGTACTGGAAAATAATACTATTGAAAAATTTGTAGTGAAAGACACGATACTACTAACAATTTTGATGTAGACATACTAGGGACTTCGGAAAAGGACATAAGCTTCGATTAGTCACAGATTTTTTTATTACAAGGAGTGAAAAAATAAAGGATGTAAGTTGGTAGAAGAAACCAATATTCTATGTAAACGAAGTTCTGGACGTTGCTTAGGCGTAAGTACGGCTTGTTGGCATTAGTTGTGGGCCCCAAAATTCGTGTTTGCAATAGCAGGGTCGTGTTGAATTGTTTACCTAGGACAGTAGTTTCTCTCTCAGCCGAGCATGGTCGAAGCTATGCACAGTAGTGAGACGGCTAGGAAGGAGTCGCCTCTCTCTGTAACGACGTCATCTCAAAGAAGGAGGAGGCCGAGAGGGGTCAGGAGGACAATCCTCTGGCCGTCCCCTGCCACCGCAAAAGAACAGCCACGGGAAGGCGAAGGTGCGCCCTGGCTGCGCACGTGCAGTGACCCTATCTAATTGAATCACTTGCTGCCCGGCATGGCGTTAGCCGTGTCAGCCACCGATGGATTCCGTGGCGTCAGCTATTTTTTGTACCTAACCTACATGAGAGGGCCGCGGAAGGGCCTGCGAGGGGAACTGCGCAGTCCTTCCGTAGCAGACGGGGCAGTGGGCAATAGGCCGCGCACTTAGTTGCATTTACTTCACTCAATTAAACTTTATTCTTATTACAATGGTCTTTTAATTTAAAAATCCCTTTAATGAAACAATTTATGAAGTCTTATACAACTTCAAGGAAAAAACATTACGTTTGCGAAGCAGAAATAAAATGTCGTAGAAACCATTTAAGTAAAACTTGTTTTTTTGTAGTAAAAGCCATGCCATCTCTGGAACTAATGAATGTAGGCTATTCCGAGTTTCTTTTTAGTAAGCAACCCGAAAATCTAAGCTTAATGAGTTAAAGTGGTTTATTATAAATTAAGCGAATCAAAAAATATACGGGAAACAAACTTCACCGTTTTTGTTTTTTGGCCGTATTCAAAAATGTTTGGTTTTGGCTTTTACTACGTTTCATCCTGGAAGGGTCGATATATGTATGTACACAAGTAAAATTATATCCTGTATTTAAAAAAATAGTGCCTTTAACGACATTTTTTTATTATCGTTAGTGGAGCTAATGAAGGAACGACGTGAAAATCCACCCGTCACTTCGGCAAAGCGGACTCTAAACCAAGAGATCAGTAAGCACGTACGACTTGACCTCCGGTGCAGAACAGAATCAAGGGTCCAAAGTGTTCGTACAATCTCTTGTAAGAAGCCATCTGTGGAAGTTGACCACAGCAAGTGGGAAAGTTTGCTTGCTTCAAAACCGGCAGTCCTTTCGGAAGTGGAAGACTTCTACAGCCAGTTGTACGCATCACATCCATCTCATTAACACGCCACTTCACCGAAGACCTGCCAAAAGTCAGTATTGGCGAAATCGAGATTGCTCTTGGACAGCTTAAAAATGGAAAAGTCCCTGGAGAGGATGGTGTTACAACAGAACTCATAAAGGCTGAAGGTAAACCCGTACTGAGGGAGCTCCAAAAGCTTTTTAACACTGTCCTATTCGAAGGGAGAACTCCGGAGGCGTGGAGTAGGAGTGTGGTCGTCTTATTCTTTAAAAAGGGGGACAAGACCCTACTTTAGAACTATCGACCCATATCCCTTCTGAGTCACGTCTGTATAAGCTGTTCTCAATAGTGATCGCGAACCGTCTTGCGCGTAAACTTGATGACTTCCAATCGTAGGAACAGGTTGGGTTTCAGAGCGGATGCGGCACCATAGACCACATCCACACAGTACGGCAGATTATACAGAAGACTGAAGAGTACAATCAGCCCCTGTGCCTAGCATTTGTGGACAATGAGAAGGCCTTTGACTCGATTGAAATCTACTCTGTCCTGGAGTGCCTGCAGCGTTGCCAAGTCGATTGGCGATACATCCAAGTGATTAGATGTCTCTACGAAGCCGCCACCATGTCTGTCCAAGTACAGAATCAGCAAACAAGTCCCATACCGTTGCATCTGAGACAAGGGGACGTGATTTCCCCGAAATTGTTCACCAATGCAATGGAGGATATGTTCAAGACGCTGAACTGGAAAGGACGTGGCATCAACATAAATGGCGAAAGCATCTCTCACTTGCGATTTGCAGACGACATTGTCATCATGGCAGAAACCCTGCAGGACCTACAAATAATGCTGAATGACCTGGCTGACTCTTCTATACGCATCGGCCTACGGATGAACTTGGATAAAGCCAAGGTCATGTTCAATGAACAATGTTCTACCGGAACCGATTGCAATACACGGTGCCATTCTCGAAGTTGTTCAAAAATATGTGTACCTTGGGCAGACATTGGCGTTAGGTAGAAACAACTTTGAGGACGAGGTGAATAGAAGAATTCAGCTAGGTTCGGCGGCGTTTAGGAAGTTACGTCAACTCGTGACATCGTCGATCCCACAGTGCCTAAGGACGGAAGTCTTTAATAAATGCGTCCTACCTGTGATGACATACAGAGCCGAGACGTGGACACTGACGGTACGGCTAGTCCACAAGTTCAAAGTCGCTCAGCGCGCTATGGAAAGGACTATGCTCAGCGTTTCTCTGAAGGGTCGCATCAGAAATGAGGTAATCCGACAGAGAACCAGAGTTATCGACATAGCCCACCGGATTAGCAAGTTGAAGTGGCAGTAGACTGGCCATATTTGCCGAAGAACCGATAACCGTTGGGGTAGACGAGTTCTGGAGTGGAGACCGCGTCTAGGCGAACGTAGTGTAGGATGTCCTCAGGCACGATGGAGTGACGATTTGCGCTAGGTGGCTAGCAGGAGCTGGATGCGAGAAGCCCAAGATCGATCTGAGTGGCGTGCAATTGGAGAGGCCTATGTCCAGCAGTGGACTAGGATAGGCTGTTGATGATGATGATAAAAATAGTTGACATTGGCATTTGTAACAAGTAAACAGAATCATCTTTATTAGTGAAAATTATTATTCTAGCGAATCATAATGCATTGTTGCATTTCTGGATGTACCAATACATCCACAAAAAATTAAAATTAATCAAAAGTCGAAAGCAATGGATAGTTCTGACAAAAAGTAAACGCAACACATAACATTGCCGCAAAAATACACATATGAAGTAATCCCCCAGTTCGATGCGATGCGATGCGGCCCGGTGCGGTCCGCCCGCTCTTAATGTGCGGTGTAATTTGTTCATAATTTTGACGTTCAAGTGGTGTGATTTTAAATTAAATTCATGTAGGGAACTGAAGAATTCTTTGTAATCTTTAAAATAGGTACAATTTAATTACACCACTCACGTACATACCAATAAAAACAAAGGAATTTAAAGAAAAGTTTACTAGAAAAAAAAAACCCACGCGGACCAGGCAGCGGACGGGACTCGAACCCGCATCCTTCGCTATCCGGGCGAATGCACTGACCATTATGCTACCACGGCCCTATTAGCCGCGTCGAAATTTTCCTAGCCTTAAGCTGCAAGGCAGCGCCATCTCTTCGCATTGTAGGTAACCCACAATGTCAAATGAATACTTTTTCAAGTATTAAACATTTGAAAGAAGAAATAGCAATTATGGTTATGATTTTATTTATTTTTTAAGCATTTAACTGCTAGATGTTTAAATCTAAAGAAAAGTTTACTAGAAAAAAAAATGTGGGTTACCTACAATGCGAAGAGATGGCGCTGCCTTGCAGCTTAAGGCTAGGAAAATTTCGACGCGGCTAATAGGGCCGTGGTAGCATAATGGTCAGTGCATTCGCCCGGATAGCGAAGGATGCGGGTTCGAGTCCCGTCCGCTGCCTGGTCCGCGTGGATTTTTTTGTAGTAAACTTTTCTTTAGATTTAAACATCTAGCAATTAAATGCTTAAAAAAGAAATAAAATAATTAGAAAGGATTTTTTTTAATACCAATAATAACAGTGCTAAAAATAATAATAGGATATTTAAAACTAACTAACTAACTAAATGAGAAAAATAAATTGTGTCTAAACTTCAAATACCTATCATTTATTCAGCTTAGGCTATTCCGTCCGCGTGAGATTCGTAAAACTATATCGGAAAACCTATTGCTGGTAAGAATTCAGCAAGAGTTACTATTATCTTTTAGTACTTAATAGTAGTCTAATAGTAAATAGTAACCCTTGCCTAAATTCTTACCAGTAAAAGGGCATCTAACGCCTTGGGCATTGAAAATCCGTAAACACCAGGTGATAGATCTCTGCGACGGACTTCTTCTTTGAGGAATTATGTGAATTGAAAATACCTATACCTTTTTAAAATATTATTTTTATTACGGTTTATAAGGATAAAATTCAAAACAGTTCTTTGATAAACATCAATCTCTCTCGATATCGACATATCGTTTGCAGTTATCTTGCCTTGGCATCCCTAATTCCCTAGTAAATCAGTTTTGTTTGTTTCATCTAATGTAAAAGAAAGAACAAAGAAAACTGAAGACTAGGCTGTATGGGCATTGCTTTCTTTGCCTCCCCTTAAAAAAGGAGAACGTTAAAAAAATCATCTTGTTTTTGTAATTTTGTTTGTTTTGCGTTTTCTTTGAAAACAAATTCGGTGAATCTTTTAATTTGTTTAGAGTAAATTATAATAATGACAGATGAGCCAATGCTTCTTATACGAGAGTCGTCGAGAAATCTGCTGAAATCAAATAGGCGGATTCACAAAAATGAACAAAATGATATATACAGAAAGCTTGAAGAAACGAGGTTGGCTTGTTTTTGAACTTTTATTATACGTATTATAATTGAAGGTTAATTATTTTGTAGCTTTATTAATGTAAAGTATTAGCTCCATGCATCTTTTTAAAAAAATCTACAAATGTAGGTGATCTCCATTTATTGTTGTTCACCAAACTTCAAATTTTATTTTAGACTAAGAATGACTGGACCACTGAAAATAAATATTATGATTTCAGGTTCCTTACATAGATACCTAATAGGTAGGTAGATAGTAATAATAATATCATCTGTGTACCTTAAGAAATAACCTTTTCACAGCTCGACTCATATTCGTATGTCTATATTCGTACATAGTTAATTTTGGTTTGATCTCATGGTAACTTTTTTTTTATTTAATGAGGATTTTTTGTTTTGGAAAGCAGATAAATAAAATTGACAGTATACTCCCTGGCAAACTTGTGGAACATCAACCATAGGCAAGAAAGCCTGCGCAGTGGCAATTTTCCATATAAAAACTTCTACTGTGCAAGTTTATTTGCCTGCGTTTTTTTCCAAAAAGTTTGCTGCTACCTATACCTAAATCCTAAATAAAACTCTTAACAAAATCAATTAAAAAAAGATTTTTTAATTTGTCATGTCTAGAAATCAAAGTTAGAATCTAAAGATGGTCATGTCATATCTACAACACAATACTCATCCAAGAAGAAAGATCTAGAAAGAGTATTTAGTTAAATTTAATGGTTTTAATAACAATAATTTACCACTGCTAAAGTACCATGTAAGTGTCATCATCAGCCTATTAATGTCCCCAGTACTGGGGCACAGGCTTTCTTATGGATTGAAAAGGGAGTTTGGGCCATGACCTAGCATGCGGACTCAGTGCGGATTGGTGGATGCTAACAACTGCGGATGCAGTCAGGATCAATAGCTTAATGTGCCTTCAGAAGCAGGAAGGAGCTTGAGATAGAGAATTTTTGGTCACACATCTAATGGCTGACCACTGCGAAAGTTACTGAACTTCAACGATCATAGCTGAATGCACTAACCACTTGCGCCATCGAGCTCCTTACATTTAAGTATTATAGATAGCTGATAAAGTATCTTTCTATCAGCTGTTCTGAATATAAAACATATTGTAAGTGCTAATGTTAACACTGTTTATTCAAACTTATTGCAGAGTAACAAGAGAAACTATAGTGGACATAGTGAACAAGTTGAAAACCAAATCTATAACAGCAATGGAACTAGATATTCTTAAAAATTCAATTTTGGATGACCAGAATAATATAGAAGTTGTGTTGAGCAATCAGGGTTCATTGAGGGGCCTGGTTCGAGAATTATCAGGTCAGTAATTAAGCTAGTTGAAAATGTCTATTTGTAACTCGACAGGTCTCTAAAGACTCAATTACACGGGGCGAGTTTACAAGCTACTAACACTCAACTCACAAGCTTGTAGATTGTAAACTCGCCCCATGTAATACTCACCCCATCTAATTGAGTCTTTAGAGATCGGTCGAGTGTAGAAATGGAGGGTACTAACCAAAAAGTTGTTTTTTGATGAGTAAGCTATATTTGAATTTGATTTACAAATTCTTGGTAAAAATGAAAATTATAAGTGACCATAATGCCATAGATTCTGATATTAAATATTGGCACAATAAGGAAAAAATTGCCTGGTCTTAATTGGTACAATAACTGTTGAGCGACATGCCTGCCTTACATCAAAGCGGATGTTGAGCGCGTTGCACGTGTTGGTCATGAACTCATAACGCATCCTACGGACTCCCGTAGCTATTGGCGTTTGGCCAAGGCCGTGCAAATGAACTGCTGCCAGCCCTCGCTGCCACCTCTGAGATGCCCAGACCGAATACTAGCTCATAAGCCGCAGGAGAAAGCCAATTTACTGGCAAAGTTCTTTGCGGCTAACTCCCGAATCGATGATTGCAATGCACTGCCACCATCATTACCACATTGTGGCACAACGATGCCTGATATTAAAATCAGGCAGCGTGAGGTTTGTGCCGAATTGCAATCACTCGACGTCCGGAAAGCTAGTGGACCTGATGGCATCCCAGCAATAGTACTGAAAAAATGTGCAGGAGTTGTCTCCCGTGCTCACGCGAATGTACCAATTGCTTGTATTCTTTGGGGCGTGTGCCGGAGACTTGGAGAGATGCCAATGTGCAAATGTCAGTGAATGCCGGCGTTCCCCAGGGCTCCGTCCTATCCCCCACTCTCTTTCTGCTGCATATCAATGACTTAATTCCACTTGGGAATATTCATTGTTATGCAGACGATAGTACAGTGCATGTGGGGTATCTCGTACAAGCAGCGGCTGGGCAGGCGGTAACCAAAGAGAAATGGGAGAATCTTGTCATTGAACTCGAACAGGCTTTGGATTTCTGAATGGGGTACCAAGAATTTGCTTGAGTTTAGCTTAGAAAACCCAGGTCTGCGCTTTCACGTCAAAAACATCGGCATTAATTTCATGTACTTCTCTTCAGGACACAACACTGGAGCTAGAGAGCAGTATCACCATGCTTGGTATGGAAATTCGCTGTGACTTAAATCTAAAGAATTACATCGAAAGTATGATAAAAACGGCCTCACGCCAACTCGGAGTCCTGAAAAAGGTGCAGCATTTTTTCACGCCCGAGCAACTGTGCTTGTTGTATAAGACGCAGGTGCGGTCTTGCGTGGAATTTTGCTCGCAGCTCTGGGATGGTTCCGCCAAGTACTTGCTCGATGCTTTGGATAGCTTACAGCGGCGCACGATCCACATCATAGGCGATGAGGAGGTGACTAAACACCTCGAGCCTCTTCAATTACGCCGTGTCGTGGCGTCACTAAGCGCGTTCTATCGTCTGTACCACGGCGAGTGTTCTAAGGAGTTATTCTCTCTTATTCCACCTTCCCCTTTCCTTCAGAGAACCACGCGCACTGGCCTACGTTGTCACCGTCTAACTGTGGCCACAATTCCAACTCGTACAAAGAAATTTGGTGACTCATTTCTTTGTCGCACTATCCGTAAATGGAATGCTCCCCCCGCTCACGTGTTCCCACTCTCTTACAACCTGGGATCCTTTAAAAGAGGCGTGAAGAAGCAACATGCAGGCCGGCAGGGTGAGGATGGCTGGAGTGGCAGGTAGAATTGCTGTATCAGCTATCTTCGCGTCTGGACTTCACCTTCACTAACTATCCATAAAAAAAACTACAAAAGGCAACAAAGCGAGAAATTATCCCAACCCCCAGACATTAAGTGTAAATAGCAACCAGCTATGAAGATCAATAAGCATACCAAATGTATAAAATCAGTATTTGTTCAATTCTTTATGTGACTTTGGGTTTTCTCCAGGTACTGATGTGACGAAACAATTGGCTGCAGCAGGGTGTTGCTGTAATATAGCTCTTGGTGATGCTAAAGCTTGCGTAACTATCGCTAAAGCAGCGGGACTCTACCTTGTGACAGCTCTTGACAACTTCAACACGGAGTTAGCTGTAAGTGACCAAAAACCTTCAAAAAAAGAGCGTACTCCTTCTTTAAAGGCCGGCATCGCATTTTTGATACTACTGGTGTTGCAAGTGTCATGAGCGACGATGATCACTTACCATCAGGTGAGCCGTCTGCTCGTATGCACCCTATAACATAAAAAAAAATGGCAAACATACAGGGTGACAGGAAAACTCGACCTATTTCTTGAAAGGGGTTATACTAGAGGTCATTAGCGACAAATTAAGTCCAGTGAACTAGAGGTCTAAACTGGATGGTTACTGATTTGTGACGGTTCTTCGATTTTTTAGAATTCTTCAGACTTGCTGTCGGAAACCATTAATTGTGAATAAACTACTCCACTCTTAACATTGAACTGATACCGTTCAGAAAGCTGACAAATTAGACACAATCTTAGAAATAAATAATATTTTTGTATTTTTCCCGAACTTCGCCCTAAATTAATCGAAAATAACTATATGGAATTTGGCTTAGAAATTAGTAAAATGACAACCTAGTTTCATAAGCTTTCCAACAAGGTATAAGCGTTATTAACTTTAATAGTTGTTTTTATTAAAATTAGTGAAAGGGCGCTGTAGGGCAAACTTTTCATTTTGTTTTGTAAATTGAAATACTTAGTGGCTTGCCTGATTGGAAGCGGCCGCCAAAGCCCTATACTCTTGCGATACCGAAAAACCAATTGCACCGTTGCCTTGACGTTTTAATGACAGTTGTGTGACGTCACACACTAGTGAGACGCCAGAATGTCCAGAACAGTTCTCGCGGCAATTTGAAAATTGAATTTTTTAATTTAGTTTCTATACTAAATTACATTACAGAATTAAAAATTTCCACGTTTTATGGACTTCATAGACATTAGGTAATAACGTGAGTACGTTTTCTAATGTCTATGAAGTAAATATGCAAGAGAATACACAACAATATTAAATTCCCTAGATACACCAACACGAACAAAATCGTGGCCGAAACCTGTCCAAAAGGTATATTGGATGATCCACAGAGCTCCGTAAGATAGTCGCGTAGTCAAAAACAATATAGGGCATTTTTTAACATTAAAAGTCACCTTTCACGCATACTGTATAAGGTCTTAATTAAAACGCAACCGTCAAAGAGTTATGACAGTTCGAAATACAGGCTCATAAAATTTTACGACTTATTGCTATGTGAGGAAGAATATAGACTTATTTTTTCTTTGACGACTCGCACACGCAATACTGAGTGCGCTGTTATCAATACAGCAGATACGGACCGCGAGGAAAAAAGACGGCTATATTACCGACCATGCATTTGAATATCACAAATATGTTCTATCAAATCAGTTAATAGTAAGTATTACAACAAGATTTGCTTTAAATGCGATCAATTAAAAAACATTGATTAGGTACCTGCCGAAAAACGACAATTTACGTACTATAAGTATTTTTTTCGCATTATTTCACGGAGCTCTGAAGATTTACGAACCGATGGCGTAGCTTCTAGACATTCATATGTGCTTGTAACAGCCTAAACTGAATAAATGATTTTGATTATGATTATTGACTTTTTAACGGTCCGCGCGTGACTGTGAACCAAAAAGTGCTTGAGTGGTGTTCAAGCACTTCTTGATTGGGACACATTTTGAGCGAACATGGGCATTTAATATCGTTGCAAATACCCTATCATAGTTATTTTATTTATTTATTTATCATCAACAAGTTTCAACAGCGTTTTACACAATACAATCTAATATAAAATTTTAAACGGTAATTTAGCCAATTACAGAAACTCACTTTGTATTCAATTTAAAAATTAAAATGATTACGTAGGGTAGAAATTACAAATTAACAATAATATAAAAGAAATACCAACAAAGATTCAAATTAATTTTGCGATACATATAAATACCTGTATAAATCAAAATTATAAAAGGAGCATGATAACTAAATTTGTGTAAATGAGTGTGTACGTGTAGTGTGTGCGTGCGTGCGTGCGTGCGTGCGTGCTGCGTGCGTGCGTGCGTGTGTGCGTGCGTGCGTGCGTTTAGTCGGTTGTGCACATTGCGTAGGTAGGTATCTTATCACATTTTTCGCATGGTTTACATGCCGGCAATATTAAGTGTGTACGTTTAGGAAACCAGAAATTAATAATTGATTTAATAAATGCAACATGTCAATGAAATAATGAGTTTGTAACAGTAACAGTATTATTATTTGTACGATGTAAGTAACAACAATTTGTACATAATGTTATTTGTACGATGGTCAGGTATTGTGCGCGTGGACATTGGGCAACATAGCGGGGTCGGGACACAGAGCATGCGTGGCGCTACACTCGCGCGGAGTTCTCACCAAAGTGACCGCTCTACTCACACACCATCTACTCTGTGACGCTGCCTTGTATGCGGCTACCCATCTCGCTTATCACATGAAAGATGACCTCGGGTGAGCGTATTGTCCATTACAATGAAATAACTTGTCGAAACGATGTCTGTATCCACTGATACTTGCTTTACAAATGCGAGTGTCTGTCTGAAATGCGATAGTTTGAGTTCCATGAAAGGACATATGATAGCTTTTATCTTAGAAATCACACTTAAAGGTTTTAATTGTTTCCGGATATCGAAGGGTGCTGGTTCGAGTCCCGTCTGCTACCTGGTCTGCATGTTTTTTTTTCTAGTAATATTTTAAATAAAACTAGTTTTACTAGAAAAAAATCCACGCGGACCAGGCAGCGAACGGGACTCGAACCCGCACCCTTCGCAATCCGGGCGAATGAACTGACCAATTATGCTACCACGGCCCTGATGGCCGCGTCGAAATTTTCCTAGCGCAGCATTTGGCGTGGTAGCATAATTGGTCAGTTCATTCGCCCGGATTGCGAAGGGTGCGGGTTCGAGTCCCGTCCGCTGCCTGGTCCGCGTGGTTTTTTTTTCTAGTAAAACTTTTCTTTAGATTTAAACATCTAGCAGTTAAAAGCTTAAAAAATAAATAAAAAACATAACTAAAACTAGTTTTTTAACGGGTTAATGTACAAACTTTATTTACTTATCGACGTTTCGCAGCCTTTTCAGGTCTGCCGCTCTGAGTTTGTTTCGCCGGTTCTTCTCAGAAAGGTCTCCCAATTTTGGAACCGGTGGTAGTTTACGGTAGATAAACTCAAAATTATAAAAAAGAATTTAAAAATAAAGAACTTTATTAACTTAATTAACTAATAAATTCATACATAGATAATAAAATTTTAAAAATCTTCCAATGTAATATCTGAACGCTCAATAAGTCTTTCGAAGGTAGCTCGACAAAGTAAATAAAAAATCATTATTCTGACGAAATAATGAATTATCTTGCGAAACGTCAATAAATAAATAAAGTTTGTGCATTAACCCGTTAAAAAACTAGTTTTATTTAATGAGTGATGTGCGTGAAAACCTAAGAAACAAATATAGTAATATTTTGTTTAGATTTAAACATCGAACAGTTACATGCTTAAAAACATATAACTATAATTGCTGTCTTCTTTTAAATATTTAATACATGAAAAGGTATTCATTTGACATTGTGGGTTACCTACAATCTTAAGAAAGGCTAGAAAGAATTCGACACGGCCGTCAGAGCCGCGCTAGCATAATGGTCAGTATATATAATAAGTAAAATTTTTATTTTTAAAGCATGTAACTGCTTGATGTTTAAATCTAAAGAAAATATAACTAGAAAAGAATCCACGCGGACCAGGCAGCACACGGGACTCGAACCCGCACCCTTCGCAATCCGGGCGAATGCACTGACCAATTATGCTACCGCGGCCCTCGCGGACCGCGTCGAAATTCTTCTAGCCATTCTTAAGCTGCAAGGCAGCTCCATCTCTTCGCATTATAGGTAACCCACAATAAATATTTCTTACTACGAAATATCATCTAAATAAGTAATCTGTAACCCACGAATTAGAAATTTTGTGGAAGCATTGCTCTCTAACAAAGGCCGCAAACAGATAAGACTACAACACTAATGCGACACCCTCACAGACAAAACAAAATAATTTGACAATTTTTATTATTTTTAAAGCATGTAACTGCTAGATGTTTAAATCTAAAGAAAATATTACTAGAAAAATTCCACGCGGACCAGTTATCAAGCAGTTACATGCTTTAAAAATAATAAAAATTATAACTATAGTTGCTATTTCTTCTTACAAATGTTTAATACTTGTAAAAGTATTCATTTGACATTGTGGGTTGCCTATAATACGAAGACATGGCGCTGCATTGCAGCTTAAGAATGGCTAGAAGAATTTCGACGCGGTCTGTGAGGGCCGCGGTAGCATAATTGGTCAGTGCATTCGCCCGGATTGCGAAGGGTGCGGGTTCGAGTCCCGTCTGCTGCCTGGTCCGCGTGGATTTTTTTCTAGTAATATTTTCTTTATAATTTGACAAATCAAATATCCGCAAATGAATTCGACTATCCATTCATTGTGTAAGATAATGTTTACCGGAAATCCCAACCAATCACATGATCGGTGTGTTGATCGAATTTTTTCGCCTTGCCCACTTCATCGCAGTTTGCGTGAAACCACTCTTTTTTTTGGTTTGCAAAACCGACTTGTGATAATGACAAAATAATTTTACCGAAATTTCTACTTTAGCGGACATCGTATTCCATATCATTTCAAATTCGTTGTCTGTAACTAATACTTATTATTTTCCGTTTCCAGTAAAGAGTACGTAGAAAAATGGACCCAGATTTTAGTCAAAATGAACTTGAGTATGGAATCGTCTCATCTACTCTTCATTCTATCCTGTCATGTCGACTTTGCCTTACCTCAGGAAGAACTCTACAGGGTGTTACAATTTACTTATGTGAGTATTCAGAAACATTGTGCAGAGTGTTCGGGAACTAAAATGTGCTGTGAACTGGTATATCTTTTGAGGACTTTAGCAAATTCGGACATCAGTGAGACGGGTGCCATAATTATAAATTACTTTGACGCAAACTTAGGTGTGGAATGTTTTAAAACAATTCTCAAATCAAACAATTGTACAGTTTCAGATGCTCTGACTTGGTTATTGGGTAATGTTTTAAATGTTTGTGGTGAAAATAGCTTCGTTAATAAGTTGTTAATGACCACTGCATCGTGAAACTCTGTTATTGAATGTTATTATAATAAGTTTTTGAACATTTTTGTTATGTAACAAAAGTTTATCAAAATTTAAGCTCGTATAAAAAAACATACTGGTCGCCGATAACATGAACAATTTCTCTGTTATTCCGGGCATCAAATTAAAACGCACACAATTACGCAATAAATATTTTATTGTATCAATAAATCATTATAACTTTTTATAATAATATTTAGATTATTATGGATAAGGCTATAATTATATTTTTTTAACGTTTACACCACTCACATATGTAGCATAAAGGTCTATCCACATTGGCTAGCTATAAGATGCTACGAACGTCACAAGTCCAATAAAAATAATAATAATCTCATCTAGGAATGATGATTTAAAAAAAAACATTATTTTAAACAGACCATTGCCGCCTAGTGTTACTGTCTACTTCAAGTTTGTGTTTTTTTCTGTTGATAAACTCTCAAGATGTTGGATATTAATTCAGTCTTATTTTTTATCATTCAAACTATTATTTACTGCTTTTACATAAACGTCAAACTCGAAATAGATAAGTGAAGTGCAACTTTAAACTGTGGTCGACTATCCACTATGTAACTACGTTAAAGCACATTATACAATACTTAAACGTTTTCTGGAATAGTTTGAAGCTTAAAATTGAAATAATCTTTATGTCACAGGCAATAAGATCTACTTTAAAAGAATTATAAGGCCTGTTGATATATCGACCCATTCTCCTTCTCCTAGCTCCCAAACAAGTTAATTTTCCTACCTGTACAGAACAAAAAAGTTTCGAAATGTCGACCTTACAAATATTAGTCTTTTGACCTATATTTGTACATGGAAAAGGTCTAATATCCGTTGTCCACGTTAAATACAACTTCGTGAATGTTATTACTGTGATAATATTGCTTACAAAACTGTTCATTTTTGTTTTCTGTTGGTTTTTAACGAGTGAAATTATTTGTAGAAATACTACTGCAAAATACATTAAGTTTACCAAAGTTTTTGTTTATCGTTTCTGCTAGTCTGTGCGGAAAGAGAATGGGCGTGGCCAAAAACGGAACTAACATTAAGATTTTTATTTGGCAATCAAACTCAGCAATCTGTAAAACGTCAAAGTTTTGTATTGATACGGATTTGTTTGTTGTTGTGATTTCTCTCGGTTTTTTGTATTTAATCATGTCCTTAAGGGGTAAAAGCTTACAAATATGGTAGAAAAGCACTACAGCGCCCTCCAATCTAAATCCCATTCTCTTTCCGCACATACTCTACATGAGGTCTTTAAAAAACGCGTTAAAAACTAAAATTGGACACAATTACAAAAAATCTTTTCACATCATGCGCAAATTCACTGCCGACATCCATGAATGGGGTCAAAATACATCTGACCAAAAACAAGCCGCGCTTTATTGGTCACGAATGCCAAGGCGGACACATAGACAAGAAAACTAAATAATGATAAATAAGTACATTTTAACAACCGTAATTTCTGATTATGCGATTGTGGGCCCGGAGATACACCGGTCGTTTTTAAGTCAAATGTGATTCGACCCTTAGTCCACATGCGGAGAAAATCCACAAGTTGACGAAAGTAGCCTTTAAAATATATTTATCATAACTAAGATACACATTGTTAAAAATTATATGTATGCTTATCACAGGACATCATAAGGTACAATAAAATGCTCACAGGATAAATTAATAAATAATGATTGTTGATAAATGTTTATAAAACTAAAACTTATTAAGCAAGTGTTATAAATGTGTGATTAAAGCAATTTTGTTTTTTATTCTTGGCTTTGCACTTTGTTTTTGGCTTAAATGTGAAACTTCATTATAAGTATAAAACAGAAATAAGATTCTCTAATCCCTCGTTTACACCATGAAACAAGTTTTATACTAGTTTAAACAAAACTAGTAGAATACTTGTTGTGGCTGTTTAAAACATTCTTTCGTTTACACTGCATAGACAACTAGTATCTTACAAGTGTAAATCACTTATTTACTTCACATATTTTGTTTCTCCAACAAGTTTGATGCAAGTATTGTATACTACATGTTTTATACTGTCTGACTGTTGCTTCTCAGTACATTTATGAAAATTAAATGTATGTTCGAAAAAATATTACATTATTTCCTATAAATAGTGATAAGCAGTCGCTTCATACTAGAAATAAAAATGAATTAGCTGTAAATTACAAGGAGGGAAGGAAAATCGATAATTCATTTAAAGGTCTTTGTGTACGCTTTTACAATAAAGTCCCTAACAATATCCAAAAATTAAGCGTCAATAAATTTAAAACTACCATTAAAAGAGTTCTTATTAAGAAAGCCTACTATAAAGTGTTTGATTATATTTCAGACAAAAATGCTTGGGTTTAAACTGTTCCAAACTTTCCGGCAGGCTTTTTCTATAATTATAATGAAGATGAAATGATTTTGTATTGACACCGTAATAATATATTTTTTTGTATATATTGTTACATAATTATTTAACGCTGTGAAATTTTTTTCGACAGTTTTTCTCCACAGCTATAAAAAATGTCCTAACTGGTGGTAGGGAAAAAAATGGACGATTCAAAAGAATTGTATTTTGCATCCAGTTTGAATAAAGATATTTTGACTTTTGACTATACATGTATATAAGTGTGAACAAAAAATTAAGACATTGTTAAATACATGTATTATACCTTGGTGTAAACGAGGGGTTATAAGTAGATCTAATACACAAATAAAGGTTCATGCAATTTGTATGGGGAGGAACCTCAATATTTATTAAGTCTGTTTTCACGTGGAAGGCGTGCATGTTAACTACAGTTAAAACATATTTTTCGTTACCCGAAACGAAATGTAAAATAAAATACCAAAGATATAAGATATTTACGAGTGGCCTTGTGAGTTGAAAATAATAAATCTTGTCTTCAAGTTTTGTTAATTTGATTAATTATTAACAATTCGTAATGAAAGGAAAAAACCCCGATATTCCCAAAATTTATCGCAAACCTAGTTGCTTGAAATCTTGGTAAATAGCAGGTCGCATCTTGATAGGTACCTTTATCTTATAATCTGAACGCAAGCGGCATCCACACTATGCTACATTCTCAAAATTTTATTGACAGTGCCCGCTGAAATTTTTTTTTTACTGACTTCGAAGGAGATTCTCAATTTGGTTTTATTTTTAATAGGTATTAAAGTTTTTATAAAACCGATATATGTGTACGATTATTTTTGTTAGACCGATTTTTGTGTGACGTCTGCGTTAATATTAGGATATTGATACATTTCTATTGTATCAATGTTGGCACCAACGCGTGGAGTTGGCAAGCGATTGGCTCTAATACTTGTTCGTAAGGAATTTAGCGCCCAAGCTCGTCTATGGTTCACACGTAAGCCAACGTTGGCGCCAACGCGTGGAGCCAGCGTGAGTATTGGCTCTACGTTCCCGCGCGTATAGTGCCAATGCTTGCATACAATCCACACATACGCCATCGTTAGTACCAACGCGTGGAGCAGGCGTGAGTGATGGCTCTACTTTCCCGCGCATATAGCGCCAATGCCGCGTAAAATCCACACATTAGCTAATGTTGGCACCAACGCGTGGAGAAGGCGTGGGTGTTGGCAACGGTTTCCCGCGCGTAATGCTCGCCTGCAATCCACACATTAGCCAACGTCGGCACCAACGCGCGGAGCGGGCGTGAGTGTTGGCCACTGTTTCCCACGCGTAATGCTCGCGTACAAACCGCACATTCGCCAACGCATGGAGCAGGCTTAGTTTTCCGCGCGTATAGTGTCAATGCTCGCGTACAATCCACACGTAAGCCAACATTGGCAGCTTAGCGTGGAGCCGGAGCGAGTGCTAGCTCTAGTTTCCCGCGTGTACAGTACAATAGTTGGGCGAGTGTTGGCGTGTTGGCGTTGGCGCGCATTACGTGTGGTCGGGGGGCGCGCGGCGCGCCTGGCCACGCCTCGCGCGCCGCTCGCCCGCGCCCGCTGCATGCGCTGTAACAAAATATTTTGTAATTACTACCTTACCGTCTTACGCACAAGGCTGTAAATGCCTTGTCAAATGTCTCAAAATGTTATAATTCATATGGGCTGCATAATAAAAGAATATTCTCTTTCCGTAATCTACTATATAAAAATAAGTCGGGTTTTCCTTCCTGACGCTATAACTCCAGAACGCACGAACCGATTTCCACGGTTTTACATTCGTTGGAAAGGTCTCGGGCTCCGTGAGGTTTATAGCAATGAAAATTCAGGAAAAATTAAAAAAAAATCTTGTTTTAATCACCAAAGGAAATGTTACATAAAACGAAGCCATCTGGTGGCGAAACGGAGTTCGCCGGGTTTGCTAGTTCATTTATATAAATTTCATAGGTATATAAATATGGTACCGCTTTCACTCCAATTATTCTCTAGACAATGCTTCGATAAACAATTCTATAGATAACGGGAAGGCGCGTAAAATCCGTCTCGGCAAATATAGCGTCACTTGAGGCGTGAGATCTTATTCTAAATTAGTTCGGTTAATACAAAACAAAGTAACTCGCTGGCCAATGACTGGTAAAAATACTTTATTTTGTGGGTCATAAGGTTGATTTCACATTTTTCTTTTTTCACCTTTATCATTTTTTTCCAAGTAGCAGATATAATTATTAAAGAAATAACATTTTGTTATTTGTATACCTTATTCCTTTGTGTGATAGTTGTTATCAGGTTCAACTTAAGTTGTTTTAAAACGTTTATCTTTGCGAATGTAGCTGCATTAGTTTAAACATACGCGGACAGTTTTTAGGTTTGATTTTGTATGCAATCCGTTATCTATAGAATTGTTGATCGAGGAGGCGATGTGGCGTATCCAAGTCCTGTGATGTTTACAAACGTGAGACGTTATAGACTCCATATGTTTCCGCCCACGACAACGGGTAACTAGACCCGAGGTCAGAGTCTCAGAGACGCCCTCTAGTTGAGCCGACCCCCTCAGGTTCGAGTGGTCTGGAGGCTCCAGACGGGGAGGAGACTCCCCCCGTGGGGAGATGCCATCCGCCTGGAATACCTCTAGAGGCACTTAGAGGCCAATTCTCGGCTTGAGGTCCCCTTAGGATCTCGCCGTTCCCAAACCCGGTGACGCTGTAAAGGTCATCTGCGTCCAACAGCATACACACTAAGAAAACAACTATGTTTTCGATCGCGTTACAGGAGATAAAACCATTTTCTAATACATGAATCTGTTTATGTTTAGAGTTTTTCAATTATTTATTTCAACAACATGCACACAATGTTAGTATCTCATTAAGAGAGATCTTTTATTTTGGTCATTAAAAAAAATATGTTAATTGTTTTAGTTAGTAATGAAAATTAGTAATTTAATATTTTATTAGTATGAGTCCATGCTCTTGCATTAAACAAAAAAAAGAGACAAGTACAGCCAAAGCCAAAGTCTCAAAATAATCTCCTTAAAGTAAATTACTTTCTCGTAAATTAGACATCTGATTTTGACCGCAAGACCTTGTAATTATTATATACCCCATAATTAGTTCATGTTAGTATTTTTTTCCATTTTTAACAAACATTAATGATCACAAATTTCGTAAGATAATAAAAAAAATCCTCACCCTCGCTTAGTGATATCAGTTTGGTAACCACGATTTTCAACTCTGGGTACTTTGAAATATGGTCCGAAACCGGACTGAGGGGTGATTTCGTTAATTCGTTCGCGCATTTATGCCTACAACGGTGAGTTTCTGAAAATTCAACGAACATGAGAAACATTATAAGGTGAAAAGATTGTTACGCAAATTGTCAAAATTAAAAAAGGGTTTTTGGAAATAGGGTACAATTTGAAACATTAAAAGGGAGTAATCTATGATTTTTTTCCGATAGATCTGACCAATGGATATCGATTGTTTCCGCCATTTTCTGTTACGTAGGAGCGTAGTTTTTTTTGAGCGAGAGAGATTGCAAAATCTGTATCTAAAAAAAGAGTCTATATATGTTTGGCAGTAGGCCCGAAACTAATTTAATGTGTCATGTCGCATAAGTACCGAGAACTAAGCAAGTTTAACCATCACATTGACTCAAACTGTATGAAAAAAATACGAATTAACTGGTTTTGATTTTTCTAGAAATAATAATAATTCCTCTTAAGTAAATCCGCCCATACATTACAGGACTATTTTTGAAATTTCTTCAGATTGAACTTAGGGTTGTTTCGCTATACTCACACCCCATCCGTCATATTAATAAACAAAGAAGAAGCTCGGACAACTTGCTCCATTTTATGTTTCTTTTCATTTAATTAAATATGGCATTTGAGTGATATGAACAAAACGCAGCGTAACTAGTCAAAGCTTATTCCTCGTTTGTTATCAAGGAGGAATGTGTCCTTATAGTTTTAGTTGTAAACACAATACCTGTTTGTTCTTCTGGACTCTTAGTATCTTCCCCGCTGGGCCCTTGTCCTTTTCTCGTCTTGTGTTCGTGTCCGTTCGCTCGCGACCGTGTATGATCTGCAATCGAAAAGGCAAGGTGGCTGGTATGGCAGATCAGATAATACATACAACTGAATCAGCTATTTCGCGCCAGGAACTACTAATATAATAGCATAAGGAGGGGTATATTGCGATTCAACTAAGAATAGAATCGACTGAGCGGCATATTTTGACGTCATTGCTGTCAATTCAAACCAAATAGGTAGAGCGAGCAAAAAAAAGTTTATATTTAATATACCTAACTTATTTACTGAGATTAAAAGTGTCTACACACGTCCCTAAATCAGAGGCAATCTCGGGAAAGTGGTGGGGAGCACCCTAAATCGCTCCCTAGATCGCCTCGTGTGTAGGCAAATCGTAATCATCATTATTATTATTACCCCTATCTCAGAAATTGGATCGGGCGAGCTCACGATTTAGGGCCGATTATCATCTAGGGAGCGTTGTCAGTGCGTGTGTAGCGAAATCGGGTCCGATATCAACGCAGTGCTCGGGCGAGCGTAGTGCGAAGAGGACGCGTGTTGGTTTTATTTCCTTTTTATTCGTGCGGAGGTATGGCGAAAGTAAAGGAGCGAGAGGCCTGTACGAAAACCATAGATAAAATGTGCATTTACACTGATGTAGTGTTTCAAACTTTTGTAGATAGCAGAGCATGTCTCTGGAATCATTTTGGACATTAATTGCGGCGATATTACAGCAGTAAATTTTAAATCCTCATAGCTTTGTCCAGTAGCCAGGAAACGTAAAGTAACTATAAGTCGTTCTCTTGGACTTATGGATTCTCGCATTAAGGTATTTTGTTTTTGTATTAATGGTATCACCAAATTCAGTAGCTCTTCAAAACATTCAATATCCATTCTTAATAAGTTTTTCAAATCAACTGGTTCTAAATGTCTCATAACGTTCATATGACTGAATTCATGGCGTTTCATCAACCACCTCTTAACCCAAGTCTTCCTCTTTAGTTTTTGTTTTGGTCGCACCGTATAAAGTGCCAGAGCGATGCCTATTTTTTGTTGTTTTGAAAGTGTGGGCGGCATCTTGGATCGACGAGCGTTATATTGCACGGTGGGCTACGTACTGCTTAGCAGGGACGTGTGTAGAGTACTAGCCGATTTCATCCCCACCATCATCCGATATCGCCTCTCCCGATATCGCCTCTGATTTAAGGGACGTGTGTAGACACAGTGAGAAAAAATATCAGATTTTTTAATAAAATTAATTTACTAAGATTGAGAAAATAACAACCGATTTTTAATAATATTTCTTTATTAAGACTGTGTGAGAAAAAACATTTATCAGAATCTAGCTCTTCAATTCCGCTCATCACTGCTTTACCGCCGGAGTAGTTATGAATAATCATGCAAACCACATACGAACATGCATCCTATATGTAAACGAAAGTTTTAAATCGAGTTTCTGAACGCAACATAAAGTGACATTTGGTTGACGATTTAGGTTATCAACCATCCATAGCCAAAGCTGAATAAATGAAAAAAAAATATCAACCAATATTAATTATCAATATTTGTTATTGTTTGTTTAAAAATGTTTAGTTTTTAATCTAGAATTAGCCGAGTGCTAAAAAACTGTTCCGAGATTTTTTGCAAACCGTACTTTTCATGCGACATTTGACAGGTGGAGGTCATTGGCTTTCCTATTTTTATTTGAATCGCATTATTTAGTCATTTGCCTCAGTATGGTTCATTAAACGCACACACGTATTACGTGGATCAGCGCGATTTACATCATTTTAGTAATTATGATTTTGCTACAGTGCACATTATTTTACAGACAAAGAACCATATAAGCTTCAAGATTTTTTTATAAAGGTATATTATTTACTATATATTCAATCGATTATAAGTCGCGGCAAGAAATTCTAGCGCTGGCCGTTAATGCGCAGAAGTAAAAATGAAGATGTCTTGGGGGGAAACGAGGTGCGCGGGTGGGCGTGCGTTGTGCCGATTGGCTCTCCAGTCGTACCCATGCGCAGCTATCCCCCCCGCGTAAAGTTCAGCGCTAGAGTTACGTGCCGCGACCTGTATGACTGTTTACGACAGCTAGGGACACGAAAAAAGTATCGATACTTTGTGGTATCGAGTACTTTTCCTTTCGATACCGATACTTTTGTACTCGATACTTTTACTCAATGAGTACTTTTTGGCAAGTATCGATACCTTTAAAAAATTGGATAAGCGCCTCATATTGATGGCAACGCCATCTTGGTAAATCATAGCAAACCTTCTCAAACATTCCATAGGGTATTTGACAAGTTTTAGGCAACTATCACGTTATTGACTAATGTTTATGGAGTCCGTAAAAAGTGGATATTCATCATTCTGTCCGTAAAAATAACCAAATCAAAAACTCCATTTTCAAGTTGCCGCGAAAACGTTTCTCTGGACAATATGGCGTCTTACTAGTGTGTGACGTCATACGACTGTTATTAAAACGTCAAACGATACAATGTAATGTCACTTTGACCGGAAGTTTACTTGCGTGTCGTCATTTTAGACTCTGCCAATCCCAAGCGTTTTGGGTCACGTGACAATAGATAAGAAAACTAATATCTTTTTCGTTATTTTGGCACTTTATTTTTAATACTGTCAAATGCCCTATTGCGTTGTTATTTGTGTAAAACGGAGAACGCCACAGAAAGAAAAAAAAAAGTCGGTAACTGACATATTCAAATTCTTTCCAATCTGTGACTGTGTTTATTTTGCGCTTTGTTTTGTTTCATAGTTATTTATTTAGCGACCATATTTTTAGGAACTGTGATTGATTCGCCGTTTATTGTGGTTTTCGCTTGACTGTATTTGATTTATTGAAGTGTAACACCATTATTCTGTCTGTGCTGTGTATACCTATTTGAAACCACCTGAAAAAAAGACGGACGTAACCTCTTCTATAATTATAATCTTGAGTGAAGCATGCCAATGGCAGCCGTTAACTACGTGTCAGATTCAAGTTAACATAAGTGGGTATAATGTTTTTTGATGATTAAAATTCAAGAAAAGTAAGTTTAATTTGAAACAAATCTGAAAAGTTTCATACTTTTAAATTGTTTAAGATTTAGATCTTTTTAATTAACATTTTAATTATGAATGTAATGTTAATGAACACTTTTTTAGTGTCAGAAATCACAGCTATTTTCTTTTCATTATATAATATAGCAATTTCTGAATTTACATGTCCTGTTTTTGTTTTTGATTATACGTACTATAATAAAATTTGATTGTTTTTCTATCAATTTTAACACCTGGGGGGGGGGGGGGGGGGTTGCTCATCAGGCCACAGAGGCTCCGATAAGGCCCTATGAAATGTACTCGATACTTTGAAGTATCGATACTTTTGTTTCGATACTTTTACGAGTACGATACTTTTTTACCGATACTACTCATGAGTACAGTATCGATACTTTCTATTCGATATCGTGTCCCTCAGCCAGTATTTCAATCGTCCACCATTTATTGAAGTGTGCCATGACTACAACTCACTCCATACAATTCTTTATGTATGGCCCCACTTAAACCCATACAAAGTGATATATTGTTTTAAACTTTCATGGTCACTAACATTATAGATATTAACGGGATTGTTACTATGTACCTTGTTTTTTATGAGTCTACTGCGTTCGAACGCAGTAAAAGACGACGTCAGAGGGTAGACCGATATGTCTGCCAATAACATCTACCCGCAATTACTTCAGTTACTCCGTGATCATGGCGCTTGCAACAGTGCCGAAATATCGGAGACTCATAAAAAACAAGGTACATGGTAACAATCCCGTTAATAACCATACAAAGTGGTCCGACTCGAATTCAACTTCCTGTATTTAACTTTCTCTGAAGCAAAAGGTTATCAAACCAAAAGAAGTGTTTTTTCAATAGGTCGAATTTTAAACGCATATAAAAACATAATTAAAAAAGTGACACTGAGAAGACATAAATCTGTATCTATTCCCAAACTTTGAATTCATTATAATACTACCATATTGAAGAGTAAAGTCGGTGGAGCGGTGTATTTGGTGCTTTATCCTCGATATGATAGTGGTCCGACTCGAACGACCACTTACCAAGTTATAATGCGATTCAACTAAGAATAGGACCGACTGGGCGCCATATTGTGATGTCATAGCTGTCAATTCATACTAAATAGGTAGAGTGAGCAAAAAAAAATATTTTATCTAATAAAACTTACTTAGAAAAGATTAAGTGAGAAAAAGCATCAGATTTTTTTAATAACATTTATTAAACTAAGATTGTTAAAAAAACCATCGATTTTTAATAATATTTATTTATTAAGACTGTGAGAGAAAACATTAATCAGAATCTAGCTCTTCTATTCCGCTCATCTCTGCATTACCACATTATCACACCTATTATTGATTATAAAAGAAAACCTGTAATTGGTCTTACCGTAATTTATATTAGTTATAGAAGTACTATTTGTAACACTGTTGGTTTTCTCTTAATAAATAAATAAATAAATAAATTACCGCCGGAGTAGTTATGAATAATCATGCACTATTACTAGGCCACATACGAACATGCATCCTTTATGTAAACGAAAGTTTGAAATCGAGTTTCTGAACCCAACTTAATGTGACATTTGGTTGACGATTTAGGTTATCAACCATTCATGGCCAAAGCTTAATAAGTAAAAAAATATCAACCGGTATTAATTATCAATACTTGTTATTGTTTGTTTACAAATGTTTGGTTTTTATTCTTGAATTAGCGGTGTACTAAAAAAGGGTTCCAAGTTTTTTTTTTGCAAACCTTACTTTTCAAGTGACATTTGACAGATAGAGGTCATTGGCTTTCCTATTCTTTTTTTTATCGCATTATACAACGACTAGGTACTCACTGTTGGCATAGACGGTGGAGCGGTGTATCTGCTGGCCGGCCAGCTCGGGCAGCGTAAGCGGCCGTCTGGTGCTTCGTCCTCGAGACGACACCATGTTGAAGTCTCTGGAAACAACCAATTACGCGTTTAAATCGATATTTTAAATAAGAGATTACGTTGCACTTGCTTTGAATATAATAATAATAATAAACATTTATTTCAGGCTTAGTACCCATATAACATACTTACATATTATAGAAAAACAATAAAAATTATAATTAAATAATCACCTTAATATATAAATTATAAATATGTAATTATATTTCATTTTTATGAATAAAGAAAGTATAACTTCAACGTACAAATGTTCGTAAAAAATATACACAATCAATAATTAATAATTATGCAGTAATAGTCACTCAAATAAAAAACTCATGCATAAAATAAAAAACATATCTTACTTCTAATTACAAAATGAGTCTTACACATATTGGACGCCTAATTAGAAACACTTAAACAAAGCATCCATAGCTCGTTCTTTTTTGTTAACACTTCTTTCTTGGCTTTTTCATTATTTTGGTGTCAATTCAAAATTTCAAAATCGGAATAAATTAAAGTTGTGACGCGTCAACTAGGAAAATAATTGTTAATTTACATATCTCTTATCTATTAGACAAGTCCGTCCGTCCGTCTATCTGTGGTGCTGTTTCAGCGGCCAAACCGTAAGAGATAGATAAAGAGAATGTTTAAGTTATAAGTTAAGAATAGTCTGATAAGACTACAAACTGGATTTGAGTAACGTAGCACTTCCGGTTTTCGAGAAATCACGAATTTCAAACGAAACCACACAAAATCTCCGAAGTTCTCAATTAATTAAATACATTTTTTTTCTTTTAAATCAGGTTTTGGTGAACATTTGGTTCACTGGTTTGCTAGTATTAAAACTAAACGAAAATGTTCTTAGAAAGGTTCAGTCTCTACTCACTCTCTAAGTGGTTCCCGCCAGAACTCGGGCGTGTGTACGGGAGGGAAGTGGTAGTTGTTCTGGTACCCGTAGGCGTCGAGCCCGCTCGCGCGCAGGCTGGCGTGCAACGAGTTCTTCATACACTGCAACTGGATGCATCGGTCACGTTGTAATGTTAATATCAAAGCGAAATGTGCCACAGTTCTCTGTTTGAATGTCAAACTTCAATCAACACCTAAACTATACCTATAGTTTAAATCTAAAGAAAAGTTTACTAGAAAAAAAAACCACGCGGACCAGGCAGCGGACGGGACTCGAACCCGCATCCTTCGCTATCCGGGCGAATGCACTGACCATTATGCTACCACGGCCCTATTAGCCGCGTCGAAATTTTCCTAGCCTTAAGCTGCAAGCCAGCGCCATCTCTTCGCATTGTAGGTAACCCACAAAAAAAAAATACCTATAGTTTTTTTATTATTAAATATTATCTGCCTATTAATTAATTGTTTATATAGATTGAATGAATTTTATCTTAACTTATATAAATAGTGACAACTTATTTAATAGTGACATTCAGTACCTAACTCTATTAATCTGTAAACTAACATAGAAATTTGAATGTAATTCCTCTCTTCTATCTCTCATTACGTGCCCGACAGGGTGCATAATGATCGTATGTTGTCATAACTTATATTTAACATCTTTTTGTACATTGTGGGTATGCAGTAAACGAATTGAATTGAATAGTCTGCGCAGACGAATGACTTTCGTCCGCGGTGGACATAAGTCCCTGAATCGTGAAGAAAATGTCCGTCGGTTCAGCACAATGTGCGAACATTTGTCCCTCGAAAATGTAGAAAATCGCATGCAATGGTAATAAACAACTACATTATAATGAATTTATTCCATTAAGTCGTGTTAACATAGGTCTTACATAATAGTTAAATATTCTTAGTTAACGTTGTGTTGTAATAGAGAATTTGACAGTATTAAAAATAAACTGCCAATTCTTAGCATCTGTGTTTAGAATGAATATTGGCAGGGGTTTTTACTATTTTTACAAAAAAAAATATTCATAATTTTACTTAAAAACCACGAAAAAGATAATAGTTTTCTTATCTATTGTCACATGACCCAAAACGCTTGGGATTAGCGGAGCCTAAAATGACGTCACACGCAAGTAAACTTCCGGTTAAAGTGACATTACATTGTATCGTTTGACGTTTTAATATCAGTCGTGTGACGTCACACGCTAGTAAGACGCCATATTGTCAAGAAAAACGTTTTCGCGGCAACTTGAAAATGGAGCTTTTGATTTGGTTATTTTTACTGAAATACACAACAGAATGATGAATATCCACCTTTTACGGATTCCATAAACATTAGTCAATAACGTGAGATCGTTTTCTAAACTTGTCAAATACCCTATTAAAGCAGAAACAGACTTGAAACGCGACGTCACCGGACACCACGTGACGCGTATTGAGTCAAATCAAATGTAAGTGCTATTTCTATATTCTTATATATCCTTCTGCTAGGATTCAGAAAATAGTTATAAATGAAGCTGAGTCTACAGGAGCACCCATTTCTATGGGCGTGCCCCAGGGTTCAATATTGGGCCCATTGCTTTACCTTATTTATATCAATGACCTTCCTCACTTTACAAGAGATTTGTGTGAGACAGTACTATTTGCTGATGACATCTCTTTAGTGTTTCAAGCTAGGAGAGGAAATGATTGTTACGACGAAGTAAATTGTGCTCTCTCTGAAGTCCTTCACTGGTTTACGGTAAATAATTTAAAACTAAACTCTAGTAAAACAAAATGTGTTAAGTTTACTTTACCTAATGTGAGGCTAACCTGCCTCACATGATATGACATGAAATTTAAGAAAAAGAGAAGATCGCTGTGTGCTTTGTGCGCCTAGTCACATGAGTTCTAGTTTTCGAGGACTGTCGTGTACTTTAGTCCTGCCCAGTCTCTCAGTATCCTCGTTCTGGGGACTTTTCCTACTCCAGATTTATAACATCTCGTGTGAGCTACTCGATGCAGTTGTAATTTATCTATTTAACGGACAAATAAGTCCGCGGACAACAAATCGAGTCAAGCGACAAGTCCTTCGTCTGCGCAGGCTATTATTGATAAGTTCAAGTCTTGACATACTACAATAATCAGAAACATAGCCACCTATCAGTCAGGCGAATTGCCCACAGAATTTATTGGTGCCGCATTTTAAAGTCCTCGGCTCGATCCATCCAAATAACCAGGGGCGTATTTATCTTAGGGCCAATATTGATCCTTAACCAGGGACAGTTGACTTGGGGCCAAGATTGATCCTTAACGAAGGACGTATTGACCTAAGGTCAAGATAGGTTATTTAACCAGGGGCGCATTTACCCTAGGGCCAAGATTTATCCTTAACAAGGGCCGTATTCACCCTAGGGCCGAGATTGATCCTTAACCAGGGCCGTATTGACCTAGGGTCAAGATTGATCCTTAACCAGGGGCGTATTTATCCTAGGGCCAAGATTGATCCTTAACTAGCGGCGTATTGACTTAGGACTATGATTGAACCTTAACCAGGGGCATATTGACTTGGGGCCAAGATTGATCCTTAACGAAGGACGTATTGACCTAAGGTCAAGATAGGTTATTTAACCAGGGGCGCATTTACCCTAAGGCCAAGATTTATCCTTAACAAGGGCCGTATTCACCCTAGGGCCGAGATTGATCCTTAACCAGGGCCGTATTGACCTAGGGCCAAGATTGATCCTTAACCAGGGGCGTATTTATCCTAGGGCCAAGATTGATCCTTAACTAGCGGCGTATTGACTTAGGACTATGATTGAACCTTAACCAGGGGCGTATTGACTTAGGGCCAATATTGATTCTTAACACAAAAAAGTTTACGTACATGCACATAAAAGTTTACAAACATGTGTTTCGAGCGGTTGGAATTCGCACTCGCTTTGTTTCCGACTGGTCCGAGATACGTAGTCCGTGAGTATTGCTCGAGCGCACTTCATATGTAGTTTACCTTATGTACTGTCTATTTCGTGGAAGAGGTGATGGGGCCGTGCGTGCCTCGCGTGCGCGCCGTCAAACAGTAGGTTAGTGACGGCGCCGCCCGCCGCCGCCGCACCGGCCGCTACCTATACAGTGCAGTATGGAGGTGACGGGCCGCGCGTGCCAACGTACGTGTGCGTGCCTCGCGTGCGCGCCGTCAAACAGTAGGTTAGTGACGGCGCCGCCCGCCGCCGCCGCACCGGCCGCTACCTATACAGTGCAGTATGGAGGTGACGGGCCGCGCGTGCCAACGTACGTGTGCGTGCCTCGCGTGCGCGCCGTCAAACAGTAGGTTAGTGACGGCGCCGCCCGCCGCCGCCGCACCGGCCGCTACCTATACAGTGCAGTATGGAGGTGACGGGCCGCGCGTGCCAACGTACGTGTGCGTGCCTCGCGTGCGCGCCGTCAAACAGTAGGTTAGTGACGGCGCCGCCCGCCGCCGCCGCACCGGCCGCTACCTATACAGTGCAGTATGGAGGTGACGGGCCGCGCGTGCCAACGTACGTGTGCGTGCCTCGCGTGCGCGCCGTCAAACAGTAGGTTAGTGACGGCGCCGCCCGCCGCCGCCGCACCGGCCGCTACCTATACAGTGCAGTATGGAGGTGACGGGCCGCGCGTGCCAACGTACGTGTGCGTGCCTCGCGTGCGCGCCGTCAAACAGTAGGTTAGTGACGGCGCCGCCCGCCGCCGCCGCACCGGCCGCTACCTATACAGTGCAGTATGGAGGTGACGGGCCGCGCGTGCCAACGTACGTGTGCGTGCCTCGCGTGCGCGCCGTCAAACAGTAGGTTAGTGACGGCGCCGCCCGCCGCCGCCGCACCGGCCGCTACCTATACAGTGCAGTATGGAGGTGACGGGCCGCGCGTGCCAACGTACGTGTGCGTGCCTCGCGTGCGCGCCGTCCAACAGTAGGTTAGTGACGGCGCCGCCCGCCGCCGCCGCACCGGCCGCTACCTATACAGTGCAGTATGGAGGTGACGGGCCGCGCGTGCCAACGTACGTGTGCGTGCCTCGCGTGCGCGCCGTCAAACAGTAGGTTAGTGACGGCGCCGCCCGCCGCCGCCGCACCGGCCGCTACCTATACAGTGCAGTATGGAGGTGACGGGCCGCGCGTGCCAACGTACGTGTGCGTGCCTCGCGTGCGCGCCGTCAAACAGTAGGTTAGTGACGGCGCCGCCCGCCGCCGCCGCACCGGCCGCTACCTATACAGTGCAGTATGGAGGTGACGGGCCGCGCGTGCCAACGTACGTGTGCGTGCCTCGCGTGCGCGCCGTCAAACAGTAGGTTAGTGACGGCGCCGCCCGCCGCCGCCGCACCGGCCGCTACCTATACAGTGCAGTATGGAGGTGACGGGCCGCGCGTGCCAACGTACGTGTGCGTGCCTCGCGTGCGCGCCGTCAAACAGTAGGTTAGTGACGGCGCCGCCCGCCGCCGCCGCACCGGCCGCTACCTATACAGTGCAGTATGGAGGTGACGGGCCGCGCGTGCCAACGTACGTGTGCGTGCCTCGCGTGCGCGCCGTCAAACAGTAGGTTAGTGACGGCGCCGCCCGCCGCCGCCGCACCGGCCGCTACCTATACAGTGCAGTATGGAGGTGACGGGCCGCGCGTGCCAACGTACGTGTGCGTGCCTCGCGTGCGCGCCGTCAAACAGTAGGTTAGTGACGGCGCCGCCCGCCGCCGCCGCACCGGCCGCTACCTATACAGTGCAGTATGGAGGTGACGGGCCGCGCGTGCCAACGTACGTGTGCGTGCCTCGCGTGCGCGCCGTCAAACAGTAGGTTAGTGACGGCGCCGCCCGCCGCCGCCGCCAGTACCTCTCTGCGCTGGCGGTCCGCGTCCGCGCGCAGGCGCCGCACGAGCCGCTCCGCCTCCTGCAGGCGCGCGCGCAGCTCCGCGCCGGACTCGGCCGCGCCCGGGGACACGGCGCCGGTGATGCCGGTGATGCCGGTGCCACCGGCAGCGTGAGCGCCGCACGAGCATGTGGACGTGCGCGACTCCAGCTCGCGCAGCTTTCTGCGATAACGTAGCATTACAAAATTCGTGCTATAGGAGACCGGTTTTATCGAATATTCGGGGCACAGAACACAGGAGAAGCTTAGAATGGTGCTGATTGACCGTTTGTACGGGAACCGATATAATCGGCTCGTACCGCCTGCACTTCCTCCTAATAGATAATAGCCAATCAAACGACGCGACACCAATAAATCAAACCAAGTTCACACCCGAGAGCAACTACGCAATAAGAACCAAGTTTTGATCAAGTTATGAACATTTGAATTACATTAGTGTAGCGCGCCTGTCTCGCCCACAAGATCCTTCTAACCTCTTTCTGTGTTCTGTGGTTCAGGGTACCTATCTTCATTATATACAAAGAGGTTGAATGCTAATATAATAAATAAACCAGTAATCACCCATTAACAGAAATTATATAATTGTATCTTTTACAAATAACATAATACTTTAGGTACTTCTATATGACGCTACAAGTCCTCAATGAACACAATGTGCTTAAAAAGGAGTACGAAAGTTTTTGATTCACGAATATTTTTTTTAATATCCTTTACAATACAAAATATCCTGTATATATTTTGTATGTATGTAAAAAAACCTTTGACGAAGTCGAAGGCCACGTATTTTCCACATCATGACGATCATTTTTTTTCTTCTGGACCATACCTGGGAAATTTATGTTTATGGAGATATTGAAGGTCAAAGTCACAATGTTTTTTATAGATTTTTACAAATACTTTATTTAGAAATTTTTTTATCGACGCACTTACACACGCGCACACACATACACACAGGCACATTCTTTGCGTAGTGCCACAGTAGCGCCCTGCGCTATACATTGCGTTCTGGAAAAAAAAATGTATTTTTTTAACTAAAAAATACAATTTTTTTGTAATATTACTTGTTTGGGTGTACAGAATGCATAGTTTTAGTCTTTGTCATAGGTTTTTTTACATCCTGTATATATATGGTAAAGCACAATTATGCTTTAAAGAAACTATTTTGACTAACTCAGCTTGCGCGTCAAACACTCGCTGCAGTTGCAGCGCTCGCGCCTCGGCAGCGCGAGCTTCGCTGCGTGCGGCCGCTGCCTCACGTTCCAACCGGCTCACTTCCCGTCTCAAGTTGGCCTCCTGTAAAATAAAAAGTAAAATGTGAGAGAATGAAGAACAATATGTGCTCATACCTACTCCTACCAGACGGAGAGCCTGGCGGGAGCTTGAGTAGATCTAACCTCTATACGGCCAGTTTCAATAATTAAACTCCATTAACAGTTAGGACTACGCGAGCTTTGTGACTAAGATATCTTTATTATTAAGACTACATTAACAACTTTTGCTAAGAAACGGAATTATCCACACCTTTTACTGAAGTTTGATTATTGAATCAAACAGGTCATTAGTGTTGGTGAGATACCATTAGTCAAAAGTAACGAATGCCTGTATGTAGCTTCTGCCGGCCCGGGTCATAGGCCTCCTAGCTCTAGGGTAGTTAAGCCCCTGATTTACTCGTCTGTTTATATTTAGGTAATATTTTTTCGAATCGCTTCGCGGCCCACTTCCCGTGCATCCAGGGAGCACTAGTTATGAACTACCGAGCTAGAGAAAGCAGAGATTTTTTATATTTCTCCGAACGTGTTGGTCAGACAGCTACCGGTAGTGTCCATATAGAATTGAAGCAATCGTGCAGGGAACTAACCCCAACTTATGTTAGAAGGCCAGGCCATTGGAAAGAGTATCTTTTGGTAATATTGTTGTTTAGTTGGTGAGGAACATACCACAGCGTGGTCGGTTATTGGATGGGCGACCAAAATCTTCTATCTCGAGTTCCTCCGTGCATCGGAAGGCACGTTAAGCCGTTGGTCCCGGCCGCATCTGCAGTCGTTAGCACCCACCAATCTGTACTGGGCCCGCGTGGTAGGTCATGGCCCAATCTCCCTATTCCATCCACAGGGAAGGCCTGTGGCCCAGCAGTGGAGACATTAATAGGCTGATGATGATGATGATACCACAGCTCCAAAGGATAACAGTAAAGTATCCAATGAAAAGGAATCTCAGTTACCCTAGCATGGTAAAGGAAATTGAGCTCGCATGTATGTAGAATGACAGTTTTATGCATCACTTGAAATACATAATTATGGGGATGCTTAGGTATCATGGAATATCAAAACTGGAATAAGTTTAGTGGGTACAAATACAAACCTCACTGTTCTCATTGGTTTCCTCTTGGGAAGGCGTTGTCGTTTTAGGCGTCGATTCCTTATTGAATATCAGTTGGAACTGCAGATCTGGAAAATATTATAAGGCTCTTAATGATCCATAAAAAAGGAGAGAGTGCTTAGTATAGGTAATATTTTTAACCATAAATTAGTCTTTTGACAGAGAACGGCTGGGATTGGCCAAGACTAAAATGACGTCACACGCTAGTAAACTTCCGGCCACAGCGAAACGATACAATGTAATATACATTATATCGTTTCGCTTTTTCATGACAGTCCTGTGACGTCACTAAAATTAATTTGTCTTTTAGGTACATTATGGGGCAATCGATTCGAATCGATGCGCGAATGAAAAGGAAATTTCTCACTGGACGGTTAATGGTATGTTTTTTTTTGTTATTTTCTCCCTTATCCCTGCATCACCTTTTCTTCAGATGACCACGCGCGCTGATCTACCTTGTCACCGACTTGCTGTGGCCACTATTCCTACACGAACAAAGAAATTTGGTGACTCATTTCTTTGTCGTACTATTTGCCAGTGGAATTCTTTGCGACCCTAGATTGTAGGAAGAAGCATTTTTGCAGGCCGGCAAGGTGAGGATACAGTGGCAGTTTATAATTGCTGTAACAGCTATCTTCGCGTTTGGACTCTATCACTTAACGTCAGGTGGGGTAAAGTCATTTGCCTAACATATGGGGGGGCAAACTCCTACTTTACCTGAGCGATCTATGTAGCTAAAAAAATGTTCAACGAACGGCCACGACTTCTGGTCGTGTCCAAATCGTCAGTCTTTTGAATAGAAGCTACAAGAGGGTTCATGTAAAGTTTCTAAAAACAGGAAAGTATTGTGGACCCATACCACGCAAACCGAAGCAGCAGATCAATTCTACTCCTTCGTACGGCCACCGAAGGGGTAGAATATAGAAAAAAATTGAGCGCGTCAGACATTGACAAGTGATGTGATGTAAACCCTCCAGTAGCTCTTATTCAGAAGACTTCGGCCCTATATAAATGGCTCAGGTATGGTATGAGGTCTTAACTAGTGGCAAGGTTGTCTTAGGCCGTATACAGAAAGAAAGCCGAAAGCCGATCGGCGCTTATCGGCGCCGATCCTTCCTACATAAAGGAAGCCGATTAAAGCAGATCAAGCAAAATGTCGGACTCATCGGACGATGATTTGGTTTTGTTAGAAAATATTTATTTAAAATGCGAAAAACAGCTATACATCCTATAAATAGAGAAAGGAAACGTTTCGGAGAATACCATCATTTATTTGTAAAAAAATTAAATTTGATGAACAAAGATTTTATACATATACAAGAATGATTCAAGAAACATTTTATTACATTTTGGATTTAGTGAAAAACCGTTTGATGAAAAATTGGGGCAATTGGCATAAACAACCAATCCTTCCAGAAGAAAGACTTGTTGTCACCATTCGGTAAGTACGAAACAAATAATTTTAGCGCTTAGTTAATAAAAGATAAAGTTATTAGATTTATAAAAAGATTATAACTTAGATTGATTTAATCTAAGGATAATAATTCAAATACAAATTATTTATTATTCGGACCAGCGCGTGTCGGCGCTTATCGGCGCCGATCGGCGCCGGTCCATAGAAAAAGGATCAGCGTCAATAGGCGCCGATAAGCGCCGATCGGCTTTCGGCTTTCTTTCTGTACACGGCCTTAGTATGTTATTCTGCCGCGCTCGAGTTAATCCCAAAATCCCCGCTTGGGCTCCCCTATTATGGGAGAAAAATGCTTCGTTTCATCGGCCCTGAAGGAAGAAGCCCTTGTGTACGGTACACCTAGAGTTGATATGATAAGTAAAAGATGATATAAGAATTTAAACTATTTATTACCACATAAAAAACTGATACTATGCTATGATAAATGATTGATAGATGAGTGCGCGCCCGCCGCGATCGGTAAGGGGAAACGTGAACTGTTGCAAATTTGTAATTAACACAATTATGAAAAGTGATGACTTCGCAAGATGTACGCTTGTACCGTACATGCTTCCGGCCTTAGAAGAGTAGCTATAAAAGAAGATAGTTAATTGAAATGGTATTACGCTAAAACAAGATGATAAACAATTTGTACTTAATACTAGGTTATTTTAAATTTATAGTAATAAGGTAGAGTTATAAAACATTGTCTTTTGCAAATTTAAATTTGATTATCGGAGACGACGCTCTATCCACACGCACAATTGATACTGACATCTTTGGTTTCGCACTTAAATTGGGCATACTGTTGTTTTGTCTATTGCATTAAGAGCCCTTTCACATTTCAAATCAAATTAATTACTACGACATCAGAAATATCTTTTTGTTGTAACATAATGTATTAGAATTTCGATTTTCTATCTCATTAATTATCAAAAAAACATCTAACCTCCTTGAGTTTCCCAAAAAAAAATGCAGGTTTACCTCATATTTTGATATTGAATTAAATAGAATTACTATCAAAAACTTTCATTAAACTAATCTACCATCATTGAACTACTGAAATATGTATATATTTTTATAATTAGTTCATTAATATTTTTTTTATAATACTCGAAACATCACCCGTAAAATGCAATATTTGAAATGCCTCCTCATACATACATACATACCTCTGTTCCTCTCTCTGAGCGCTTCGATCTCGGCGTGCAAGCCGCTCAGCATCTGCCTGTGCTGCTCCTGCAGGAACCGCACGCTGTGCTCCAGGTGCGCCACTCGTGCCGTGGCATCGCCGCTTCCTATGACGAAACCGCTCCCGGACTGTTCAGGCGGTGACTTTTTAATCTGCAAATTTATTGAATTTATGAAGTAGAACTTCTGGTGCAAACGCAAAAATCCCATGGAAAAGATGAAACTGAAATGCGGCACGTCATAATAATCGTCACTCACTTACTAGTTAGCAATTAGCTATCAGGTAAGCCGTGCGCGTAGGTACTTATTCATAACAACCATTTTAATTATATTTTTTAATTTTTAAAGCATGTAACTGCTTGATGTTTAAATCTAAAGAAAATATAACTAGAAAAAATTCAACGCGGACCAGGGGGCCAATCGCCTAACTGGATTGCTTTGGAAAACGCTATCGCTTACGATTTCATTTTGTTATTTCTAGCCCCCTGAGGTTTTCAAATGCCTCGCGCTCTTTTTTTCTCTTTTGCATTGGTAATAACAATGTTAAAGAAAATGAGCGTGAGGTATTTCGGCGGTTAGAAATAACAAAATGAAATCGTAAGCGATAGCGTTTTCCAAAGCAATCCAGTTAGGCGATTGGCCCCCAGGCAGCAGACGGGACTCAAACCCGCACCCTTCGCAATCCGGGCGAATGCACTGACCAATTATGCTACCGCGGCCCTTACGGACCGCGTCGAAATTCCTCTAGCCATTCTTAAGCTGCAAGGCAGCGCCATCCCTTCGCGTTATAGGTAACCCACAATGTCAAATGAATACTTTTACAAGTATTAAACATTTGAAAGAAGAAATAGAAATGCTATTTCTTCTTTGAAGGAAGGAAGGGGAAGTTCACACTAAAGCTGCACATAGAAACGAAAAGAAATATACAAAAAAATATTTGAAGTCAAATAAGTAGTTTCGTAGTAAGATACTTCCTGCAGCCATATAAACATTGACTCTATTTGTAATAATAGATTAAAAATCATCATCATCAGCCTTTTAATGTTCTCACTGCTGGGGCACAGGCCTTTCCTATGGATGGAATAGGAAGATTGGGACATGACCCACCACGCGGGCTCAGTGCGGATTGGCGGGTGCTAACGACTGCAGATGCAGCCGAAACCAACAGCTTAACGTGCCTACCGAATCACGGAGGAACACGAGATAGAAGATTTTTGGTCACCCATCCAATTACCGACCACTGCGAAAGTTGCTTAACTTCAACGATTGCAGCCGAACGCGCTAACCACCCGCGCTACCTAAATATTAAAAAAATGTGAAATCTTAAACCATTTCGGAAGTGTCTACGCTAATTTGTATTATCATAAATAATTGTGGTTTTTTTTGTGCAGATTGGACACATTGTCCCGCCCCGCGTACATAAAAACAACTTTTTCCGTGACGATGCTATTAATAAAGTGTTATTAAAGATACACTAGACCGGAAATGTTGAGGAAGGCCCTTATAAGTGGCACACAATGACTTTTCCGATAAGTCGACGACCTTTTAACCAGTCTTTGTTTCCGGTTTGCAATATCTTTGTCATTTTGCAACACTTACATTAAATCGCTTTTCAAAAACTTCCAATACCACTTAGGCAATAATAAGCTCTAAAGCTAAGCTCTATAGGAAATCATAATCTCATCGTTCACATAAATTGTTATTTAAATAATTGTTTAAGTATAAAATATTAAATAAAAAAAAAATACGCAACATTGTAAAATAATTTCTACAAAATATTGAAACCCAACAAATAAATATACCTTACGTATTGAAACAACAATGAAAAAAATAACATCCAGCATAACTTTGTAATGCTCGCGATTTTTCGGAATTACGATCAAAAAACATGTTCTCGTGTTTAGCTCTGACTAAGCATTTAAGTGTCGTGTTGTTTTATTGCCTACTTACTTGCAATTTGGCAAAGGGAACAGTCGGCACTAACACTTTGGAAGCCATAGCTGCAATCCTGGCCGCACGCGCCAGATCACGAGGTGAGTTGAGTCAATTAGCGAAACCTAGGTCGCGGGACTGGCTCACAGCACGCGCGCATTCGTAATGCCCGAGCTCCGACATTTGCACCGCGCACAGCACGGGCGGCCTTGCCGCGCGCGTAATAATTAAAAATAAAAAAAATTTGCACGAAAACACCGGTCGAAACTACTACGTTTCCTTCTTACGTTATGAGGTCGTCGACCGTCGCCGACCTTGAACTAAGTACTGCGATAAGTATAAGTAATAAATAGCTGGTTGTAATGCACTGTGCTTTGTTAGGTTTTTTGGAGTTGTTGTTTGGTTTATTTCGGGTTTTTTCGCTAGGCGAGGTGGGACTGCGTTGCCCGGGTGCAGGGCACGGCTAAGCGGGGAGGGGTGCAGTGTCTATCGATCGTGCCGCCGCCGCCGCGCCCGCCGCTGCGAGTTCCTAGTGACATACCGCTGAGTCACGACTCGACTCGGCTCCTGTCACTACACAGCTGTGGCACCCGGCCAATTCTCGCGGTGGCTCCGTGTCACTCAATCTATCTCGATGACACATTATTAAAGTCTTTTTAGCGTTCCCCATTTATTTATGTGTTTACTTATGTCATTCGCAAAGAAATGCGATTCAAATTAACGTCTTCATAGAATCGTTTCAAATATTGGGCAGGGCATCATAGCGATGCCTAAAATATACAAATATTTCTATCCTCTTCTTCTCAGTTCTCGCTGCGATCCTCTTGTAACCTTCTTCTTGAAATTCCCTGTCACTCTTTTGACTTCTTTTCTTATTCCTTTTCTGTGCACGCTGCTCGGCTGTGGAATTCTCTCCCTGAAGGAATCAGAAAGGCTCGTACACTTAATCCTTTAGCGATCAAGTCAAAAGCTATTTCCTTTCCGTTTCTTAAATTCATTTAGCATCCCATTTCTTTGCTTCTCTTGAATATTTATGTAAGGATTCTTACTTTTGCACCCTTCTATATTTATCTATATTATTATTCCTCATCCACCATAGGTTGCCTGGAAGAGATTGCTGTTTAGCAATAAAGCCACCTATTGTACTCTTTCTTCTGTTTTATTTGTTTATGTCTTGTGTCCTTTGTTGTGTGCAATAAAGAATATTTATTATTATTATTAAATATGTAAGTCTAAATAGCTAGGTAGAGGTACTATTCTAAGCACGCCTCAATATTGCTTGATTTGGTATTGGTTGGAGCTTTAGATAAACTCCAATCAAGTGATAAGTTGTCACCTATCGTGGAAAACAATTTCTGCATTATGGGCATACCTATGCAAAGACAGACTGTTACAAAATGACATTGAAATTTATCTGTGAAGTTCCTAACAATAATATAAGACTAAATATAAATAGGAAGCGCTAATGAGCTCATCTTAAGAATTAAATCGACTTCTCGGAAAAGGAGCCTATTATTAAACAATGACACTGTTTGTCATTGTTTAATAATAGACTCCTTTTCTAAGAAGTTGGTTTCCATTGCTCCAGAATTATCTTTTGAATGTTTCATTTTTATTAATAGGTCCTAAATATGACTCCACCTCACCTGATGTTAAGTGACGGTAAAGTACAGACGTGAAGGTAGCTGATACAGCAGTTCTACCTGCCACACCAGCCATCCTCATCCTGACAGCCTGCATGTTCCTTTTTTCGAAGGATCTCAGGTTGTACGAGTGAGAGAACACGCGTGCGACATAGACATACATATGTGTCACCAAATTTCTTTGTACGCGTTTTAATAGTGGCCACAGTTAAGTGGTGTACACATTAAGCGTTTTCCAACGCGCGCTTTGCTAAAGCGCGTTTCGAGAACCAGAACCAGGAGTTCTATTGAAGTGTACACATGCAAGCGCGCGATTCTGGTCAAGCGTGCGTCAAACGCGCGTTCTCATATTTTACGTATGCGGGCGTTAGCTGCGCGCTTCGAGATACTTGGGCCGCCATTTTGTTGTACATTTGATCGCGCGCTTTGGTGTAGTGTAGACGTCAGTTCAACGGAAAAATGGATACCGAACATTTTGACACAGATTTCTTTATTGATGAAATCCAAAAGCGACCAGCTATTTGGGACATGAAATGTCCCGATTATAAAAAAAATAAGAAGCTAAAAAGACGTAAAGTAAAAAAAAATACGCCGTCTTTTATAGCGACGGTAGAGGAGCCACACACAAGTAATCACTTGGGCATCCATTTTCGGACTGCCAGAAACACACCCTACTTAACGCTCGCCGAACGCCCAGCCGAGCGCGGCGTGTGTATGCAATCAACGCGCGCTCAACGCAACGCCGAGCGCCCAATGTGTACCCGCCGTTAGTCTGTGACAACTCGCCTAGTGCGCGTGGTACTCTAAAGGAAAGTGGAAGGTGGAATAAGGAAGAATAACTCCTCAGAAAACTCGCCATGGTATAGACGATAGAACGCGCGTAAAGACCGCACCTGCGTCTTCTATAACACCTTGTTCAGGTGTTATAGTTCACCAAACTCGGTGTGAGTTTGCGTGAGGCCGAGACATAAAACTCTTTACTAAGATTTAAAAAAGTATCGTAAGCCGTGCGTTTTACTTTACATTACCGCACGCGTGTGTAATGTGATAGATTGTGATATTGAAATTGGTGCAATAAGAGACGCTTTACGAGCAAATTTTTGCTACTGTCAGTCCACTGCAAACTTATCGTGGTCCAACTTTATGTACTTACATTTAAGCAGAAATCTACCATATTGTTTTGAAATGGTTGTAACAAAATAAGCTTAAGGTAGGTCAGGAATCAAATTGGCTGATGGAACATATATATTTTACTTCTAATACAGCGTAGGTACTTCATTAAGGATGTCTGTGTATAAGGATGATCTTTGAGTTCATTTGAGTTCACTTAGTTTCAGGTTTCATTAAGACACAATTTCTCAACATCATCCCAACTAACTGTTTTTTCTACTCGTCAATTCGACATATTAAAATACCATAGGAAGCTCTAAATCACTCATATAATATCTTCAACTATATAATGCACAGTATTTTGGAGTACTCAAACGCATCCGCTATCTAGACGGATGCACTAATCATTATTATGCACTAATTGTCCGTCTCGAATTTTCTCTAGCATATCCCAGGCTGCAAGGTAGCGCCATCTATTCGTTTTGTAGGTAACCTACACCACACTGTAGTCCTGATCGGGGTACCTAACACACATACAGAGTCCAACTTTTCCAAAAAGCCTTCCCTATGGAAGGTAGATAAATAATAATAAAATACACACATCAAAAGTGTCTAGGGATCAACATATATTTTTGCAATAACTTTTCTCCTGATTGATATTAATTAAAATTTTCTTTAAGGATTCATCAAATAAAGTGTTTTCGTTTGTCACAGTAACGATAAACCAAGTCACCTTTGCATTAATAAAGAAATTTGCCATTTTCCTAATAAAGGGATTTTTGACATTTGAACCACTAACACAAAAGTTCGAAAAAAAGACTGAAATAACAGTTTTCTCTAAAATTTTATTGGGTAACTTAAACAATTAATAATCCGTATTTCTACCGCGAACACTAACAACACAAGAACATCGGTTTGGCATACTCAAAATGAGTTCATCCAAATCACGCTGTGGAATGGCCGCCCATGTTCGTTGCAACAACAAAAAAAGGTCTTCTTGCGACTGGATACCCTCCATATTCGGCAGAGCTCTTCTCTGTAGCATATCCCATGCATGCTCAATCGGGTTCAAGTCTGGCGACTGAGCAGGCCAGGGCAGGACATTGATGTTAGCTGCGGCGAGAGTCTGTCTTACAACTCTTGCGGTGTGCGGTCGTGCATTATCATGCATTAACTGAAATAAGGGACCGATTTGCACTTGTAGAGGAACGATGACGTCTGATACAATCGTCTCAGCATAAATTTGAGCGTTGAGGTTGCCTCTGATCCAAATCAACTCAGTTCTTCCGCCGATCCAAATACCCGCCCATACCATGATGGTTCCACCACTATAAGGATGGACTTCCTGGCAGGATTTTAATCGCTGTTGGCGTCCAGGGGTTCTCCAGTGTCGTATACGTCTTGTATCCGGTCTCATACCAAAACGAGACTCATCAGAAAAGCACACGAAACGCCATTGTTCTTCTGCCCAATTTCTGTGTTCAAGAGCCCATTGATATCGAATCCTACGATTGTGCATTGCTATAGGTGGTACCCGTAGCGGTCTTCGGGAATGAAGGTTCACTTCATGCAAGCGGTTTCTGACTGTTTGGTCGCTAATTAAGTTCCCTGAAGAGTGATGAAGCCTCACGGCTAACATCATGGCGGTTATTGTTGGAGCTCTTCGAGTTAAGATTTGAATGTATCGGTCTTGTCTCCGTGTGGTGCAGCGATACCGTCCTCCATGGCGCTCAGCCACGGTACCAGTGCTTCGGTATCGTGTCCAAAGTCGACTGATAACACTCTGACTTGTATTCAGAGCTAAAGCCACAGTACGTTGCCGGGAACCAGCTTCTATCATTCCCACGGCTCTGAGCATTTCTTCCCTGCTTAAATGACGTCGCCGCTCCATAATAACGTTGGTTTTAATCAGTAGTAGGGAAACATTAGCACTAATAATGTCTTCAATGCGTTGTATGTTTTTATAGGGAAAATATTGACAGCTGATTTTCATCTTTTACTCGAATTTGATTCACAGTTCCTGATTCAAATTATGAAATGCACCAAAAAGGATCCATATAAATTTATAAAATCATAAATTTATTACAAAGCCACATCTCAATCTCAAGAAATCCGCATAAAAATGCTTGATCCCTAGACACTTTTGATGTGTGTATTTCCAACACACACACCAATTAGCCTAGCCCCAAAGTAAGCACTATAAGGCTTGTGTTATGGGATACTAGGGTAACGGATAGAAAACATATTAGAAATACATATTAAACATCCATGACTCGAGTACAAATGCACGTATTCATCACACAAAAATCTGCCCCCACCGGAATTCGAACCCGGGACCTCTCGAGTCGGCGACACCATGAAACCCGGCGTACAAACCACTCGGCCACGGAGGTCGTCATGGATGGAATAAATAATGGAATAGTGGACCACCACGCGGGTTAAGTGCGGATTGGTGGGTGCTAACATTGCTGATGCAGCTGAGACCAACGGGCTAAATGTCATTTGAAGCACAGAGGAGCTCGAGATAATAAATTTTCGTTACTCTCATTCTATGCTCAACATTCACGATCGCAGACAAAACGCGCTAAGTATCCTATATACCGACTATATCTATCGATTTTCACGCTGTGTCCCGGGTATCGCGGCACGTAACTCTAGCGCTGAACAAACCGCAGAGGGTATGGCTGCGCATGGCTACGACTGGAGAGCCAATCTACATTTTTTTTGTTTCCTCCTAGGCGCACAGTGGTCTGAAAATCGAGCTTTTTTTTTTTTTTTTTTTATATTACTAGGTAGGCAAATGACTCTACCCCACCTGATGTTAAGTGGTGATAAAGTCCAAACGCGAAGATAGCTGGTACAGCAGTTATTAACTGCTACACCAACCATCCTCACCTTGCCGGCCCGCAAAAATGCTTCTTCACGCCTCTCTTAAAGGACCCCAGATTATAGGAAGGAGGGAACACGTGCGCGGGTAAAGAATTCCACTTACGAATAGTACGACAAACAAATGAGTCGCCAAATTTCTTTGTTCGTGTAGGAATAGTGGCCACAGTAAGTCGATGGCAACGTAGGCCAGCGCGCGTGGTCCTCTGAAGAAAAGGTGATGGAGGGATAAGCAAGAATAGCTCCTCAGAACACTCGCCGTGGTATATTCGGTAGAATGCGCTTAATGATGCCACATCACGGCGTAATTGTAGAGACTCGAGTTTCTTAGTTGCCTCTTCATCGCCAATGATGCGGGCAGCACGCCGCTGCAACCTATCCAAGGCATCGAGTAAGTACTTTGCGGAGCCATCCCAGAGGTGCGAGCAATATTCCACGCAGGACCGCACTTGTGTTTTGTACAACAAGCACAGTTGATCGGGCGTGAAAAAACGC